GGTCAGTTTGGGTCAGCTGTCCCGGCTGTGTCCCCTCCCAGCTTCTCGTGCACCCCCAGCCTACTTGCTGGTGGGACAATGTGAGGAGCAGAAAAGGCCTTGACTCTGTGTAAGCACTGCTCAGCAATAGCTAAAACATGGGTGTGTTATCAAGGCTGTTTTAGTCACAACACTAAAACATAGCCCCATACTAGCTACTCTGAAGAAAATGAACTCTATCCCAGCCAAAACCAGCACAATCAGTAAGACAAAAAGAGCTTTGCCAGGCCTGAAGAATTTAAGAGTCAGCAGATCAAAGCAGCAGCCCACTACCTTCTTTATAGAGAAGTCACTCCTTCTCAACCCACTTTGACCTGCTCTCTCCAAAACCCTCCAAAGTAGCAGGGATGCATAGCCACAGATTCGTTACCTTGCACCTGAGCAAATCCCACTCTGCTGAAATAGTCCTCAGTTCCACAAAGATATTCTCTACTGGTCTTCTCACATTCTCCCACTCCATTATATCCTCCTGTTCCTGTGTGTTAAGGACCTGCAATTCTCCTCCTCTGTCTCCTCTGCTGAGGCAAGGAGCTTTCTCCACCTTTGATCTGTCAAGTCTTGCCTTCCATCCAAAAGGGAAGAGACAAATGGGAGCTTCACCACTTGCAGCAGTCTTCAAAACACCAACTGCCACAAAGAATCCCTTGTCTATGTCTTTCGTGCTCCCGTATGAATTTACACACACACTCAAGTCTGAAGCCTGTCTTTTTGCTATTAAGTTTGGCATTTGCTTTTCCAGCTTCCCTTGGACCACACCAGTCTCCTCCTGATCTCCTGTTGAGCTACTGGGCAATGCTGCAGTGTCTGCCTTGAGGCAGTGTGATACACTGTTAGCAGGGCTGGTGCTGCTCAGAGTGCCCAGCTTTTCTTTGAGCAGACAGGTGTGCAAGCTGCCACCTACATTCATATCCTCCTGTTTTATGTGCAGAAGTTTTTCCCTTTCTTGGTAAGGTACTGCAAAGCTCTTCTGAAGGGGACAAGTAGGGGGGCTGGGACAAGTCAGTTCTGGAGGTGAAGCTTCCACTAGGTCCCCATGCTTTTCCAGTATTTCTTCTTTTATAGAATCATAGAATCGTACAATAGTTTGGGTTGGAAGGGACCTCTAAAGTTCATCTAGTCCAACCCCCCTGCTGTGGGCAGGGACATCTTCAACTAAATGAGGTTGCTCAGAGCCCCATCCAACCTGACCTTGAATGTTTCCAGGGATGGGGCATCCACCACTTCTCTGGGCAACCTGTGCCAGTGCTTCACCACCCTCAGCGTAAAAAATTCCTTCCTTATATCTAGTCTATGGTCAACTTGGGCTTGCTAGAGAAAAAAAAAGAAAAAGAAAAAAGAAAAAGAGAGGATGAGCCACCTGGAGTGCCTCCAGTTCACAGCACAGCTGACCTCAGACCTCAATACCTGCTGCAGCTGTAGCAAACTACCAATCCCTTGACTGTGGGGATCAATCCTCCTCCCGGCCAGGCATTTGCTGCCCCAGCACAGAGGATTGCTGCTGAGGGAAACTCATGGCATCAGCCTCTCTCTATAGCATAATGCTCCTGATGCTCACTCTCATTTTAGGACAAGCAGCTATCATGCTCATTTCATGCAGGGGACATGTCAGTAGCAGAGCTACAAAGCCCAAAGACCCTGGCTCCCTACCTACCCAGCCCCACCGCCTGTCTCCCATCTGAGATAGCAGTGAGGTTGAACTGCAGTCCCTGAAGAAAAAACTCACAGAAATTTGCTAAATGTCCTGTCTGAAATACATTTGCCTGAAGCATTTCACTAAACATGGCAGGCTGGTATGTTTCCGACAGGCTGCCATTCCAAGCTTTTTCAGCTATAAAATCATTTGGAGCGTGTTTGTCCACAAACCCAACCAGATCTTGTGCCTGTCAGAGCCCTGGATACCTGACCCATTTGTAATGCAATCAAAAGCCTGAATTCAGGAAGGGCAAGGCCAGTCCATCTGCATGTCTGTGTTATGGCCCAGGCCCTCCGATGGATTCCCAACAGCGCTGGGCAAACAGGACAAGGAACATGGGCACAAGGAGGAACATAGGAAAAAGTAGAGTGTGGGGGAGTTATAGGGATGTTGGGAGAGATGAACAGGGGTGGAGGGCAAAGATATTGATGGAGTTTGTTGGAGGTGCTGCGGAGAGCTCATATTTGGAAAAAGTAGTTCAGCATGGTAGCAGTGAAGAGAAACAAGAGCGGCCTGGGGAAGAGCTGAGGCAGGGAAAACAGGAGCAACAGATGTTTGGCCCCACCATCATGATGAGAGAAACAACTTTGAGAACTACTGCTGATGAGCAGGACTGTTCTTCTCACACAATGTTTTCAAAGCTGGTGTAACCCAGTGGCTTTCTCTTTCCCCAAGATCCTGCAAGGAGGAGCAGAAGGTCAACCAGATAGATCTGTGATCCACCAACCAGCTGCATCATGTGCAGAGGGCCACAGAGGGAGAGATGCCACGGTCCACTCGACTGCTCTCAACCCAGTAGCCCCATTGCAGGCCTTTCCCTGGGCAACCAGTGGGCACGACCAGTGGCCAGGCAGAAGGTACAAGTGCAGGACACAGCCGGGCAGCCCTTCAGCCAGGCAAGTAGTGCCACCGTGTGGGAGCAGCCCACATTGCTCTCTCATGACATGGGCAGTAACGGTTTCAGGAGGGGGTGAAAGAGAGAAGTTGAAAATAAATAAATAAATAAATAAAAATCCCA